TCGCTGCTTGATTTCTTTTAAATCAAATTCACAGTGACACAAAAACATGGCTGAAAATATCATGATTGATAAGGTGATTGGTGAAAGTGGAGCTTCTAATTCAAATGCCACATCACAATCTCAATCAGTTCAATCGAAAACAAAAAAACAAAGAAAAAAGAGGTCTGTTGCATGGGAATATTTCGACCAAATTATTGATCTGGAAGGAAATCAAAAGGGTGTTTGTAAACATTGCAAAAGAGAATATTTTGCCGATTCAAAAGATAATGGTACGAAATCACTCCTTACACATATGGACAAGTGTTTAAAATGCCTTTAGATGTTGTAAAAAGTCAATCAAAACTAGGCTTTAACCCTATTCCGGGGGGTAATAAGGGTGATGTAGCCGTTGTTCCTTGGAAATTTGATCAAGAACAATGTAGGAAGGCTTTGTGTCGTATGGTGATCGTTGATGAACTTCCTTTCAGCTTTGTTGAAAAGGAAGGTTTTATGAATTTTATGAAAGTTGCACAACCTTTTTTTCGAATTCCTTCACGTAGAACTGTGACTCGGGACTGTTTTGATCTTTTCAATGATGAAAAACGTAAGTTGGTGAAGCTTTTTAAAGATCAGAGAGTTTGCCTTACCACTGATACTTGGACTTCCTTACAACGAATAAATTATATGTGTATTACTGTTCATTGGATTGATAGTGAATGGAAAATGCATAAAAGAATTGTCAACTTTTGTCCAATTTCTAGTCATAGGGGGGAAGATATGGCAAATAGTATTGTTAATTGTTTGAAAGAGTGGGGGTTACAAAAGATTTTCACTGTCACAGTTGATAATGCTAGTTCAAATGATGTGACGGTGAAGGAGCTTTCTAAGAAGTTAACTAAATGGGGGACCAATTCTATGAATGGTAAGCACCTTCACGTGAGGTGTATGGCTCATATTATGAATCTTGTTGTTCAGGATGGTATAAAAGAATCAATTGTGTCTATTGAACGTATTAGGCAAGCAGTGAGATATATCAGGCAGTCTCCTGCTAGGTGGAAAAAGTTTCAGGAATGTTGTGATGAAGGAAATCTAGTTAGGAAATCTTTATGTTTGGATGTTCCTACAAGGTGGAATTCTACATACTTGATGTTGAACAGGGCTATTGAATATGAGAGTACAATTTTAGAATATGTTGATCATGATATTGGCTTGTCACATCATCTTGCGTTTGTTGATATTGAAAATGGAAGTCCTGCAGGTACACTTTTGAGTAGTGATTGGGAGGATGTAAAGAAATTGACAAAATTTCTTGAAAAATTTTATAATCTTACTGTAAAGGTATTTGGCTCACTTTATGTTACATCAAATCATCATTTTCTTGAAATTTGTGAAGTTGTTGTTTACTTGAAATAATGGATATTAAATGAAGATGTTTTGTTGGGTTCAATGGCAAAGAAGATGAAGGAGAAATTTGATAAGTATTGGGGTGATCTAGAAAAAATGAACAAAATGATTTTCATTTCATATGTTTTGGATCCTCGGTACAAGTTTGATTCTGTTAGTTTTGCACTTGCGAAGATGTTCGAAGAGAAAGGGCCAATTATCGCGAAGGGAGTGCATACATACATGACTTCATTTTTTGATGAGTATGTAAAGTCTTATTCAAAAGATAAATTTTGTCGTCCCTCTTCATGTTTATCTAACTCTTCATTGGACACAATGGAAACTTCAAATGGATCTTTTGGTTCTTTCTTTGAAGAATTAAAAAGACATAAAGTTGGGATTGGAGGTTCAGATTCTAAATCAGAATTGAAAAAATATCTTACAGAAGAAGTTGAAAATGAAATAGCAGACGGCAATATATTGCTTTGGTGGAAAGTAAACTCACCTAGATTCCCCTTTCTTCCTGAGATGGCTCGGGATGTATTATCTATTCCTATTTCAAGTGTTGCATCTGAATGTGCATTTAGCACTGGAGGGCGTATTCTTGATTCATTTAGGAGTTCATTGACTCCTAAATTGGTGGAAGTTCTCCTGTGCCTTCAAGATTGGCTTCGAAGTGAGCCATTACCTGTAAGTGTTGAGGAAGATTTAGATGTTCTCGAGCAACTAGAACAAGGTAGCAATATTTTAATTTGTTTGATTGTATATTATTTTTATAAATAGTTTATTTAATATTTTT